TTTTTTTCTTTTCAAAGCAACAACTATTGGCACTTCTTTTTAAAGAAGCACTTTCATTTTTTTCTTAAGGAAGAAATTTCAAACCCCTTTTGAAAGGGGCGATACAGACTCCATTGTAATCAAAGGTCCTTCTTGTAATTCAAGATCACAATACTCATTTATATCCCATTTTGGTCTGGGACTAAATTCAGGTAAATTCAGGCAAAAATCAAAAAATGAATTTAAGTCACAATTTACACCATATGTCTGACTTCAAAGGGAGTTTCTGGATAAGATGATAACAGAATGTAGACCAAGGAGTCTCTTCTCTTTCTCCTCTAGCTACCTTGCAGAGTGACAAATGGGTGAGTGTTTTTTTTTCATAGATGTATTAGTAGTTTACATGTGTATTGTCTTTTTACAGAGAAAATACCATGTTTGGGTAAAAACCTCTTTGTATAGCCTCAGTCGTGACAGCCTCTGAGCCTTAATATCCAGTGCCATCAAGCCCAGAACTGTTGAGTCAAGGCAAATACTAATGTTACCTTTTATGGATGTGAGAAATAACAATCATTGTATCCTTGGGATTGCCAAAAAAAGCTGAAGAAAGTCATGTGGCTGTGCATCATCTATGCTTGAGCTTGCAATTGCTAATTGTTATACTTGTACAAAGCAATTGTTTGTATGATCTTAGGTAATGGATCCAAAGTTGATTAAGCAGTGTATAGAAGAATGTGAGGCAAGAATAGAAATCGGACTTCACTATAACATCCCCTACCCAAGACCTGTGAGTATAAATCTAGTCACAAAGTCTTCAACTATACCCACTTAGCTCTCACTGGACAATAAAACCATAAGTTCACATCACCTTCACCACATTGCATTTTTAGATAAGCCGGTATTTAAATGCTATGCTAAATCAGAGCCAAATAAGCCAAATGTATATTGAAATGTTTTCCATCTATCTTTTTTCACTATAAATTGACTAATTTCTTCTCAAAATAAGGAGTCAAAACCCAAATGCAATTGCATGAGCTAAACTTCCAAGGCCTGCAAATATTTAGGCAGTCTTGACCGACCAATGAATGACACTATGTAGAAAAAGAGAGTAATGGAAATCAAATGAGAGAATAAAAATACTCAAACCAGGACAATCTGCCATAGATATAATAATTTTCATAGCCTACATTAATGGTAACTGTTTCTCCAGTCATAGATCAGGTCTTATAAAACACCTGCCTATGTTGCTGCTTCTTTTCCCCTGTTCCTAGAGAAAAACACGTCCAAGATTACCAAAATGCTGGAAATTGCAGCGATGACTTCTATTGCACCATTCAATATAGTTTCCTTACTGCCTAGTCACTTCTGTCTGTAGTACTGTATGCTGCCTCCCACAGAGACTTCCTCTAGTTTACGTTTTCACATCTATATTTTCCTTATCAAGGTGGTCATGGTCAAAATTGAATTGTATCTTCATCACATGCTTGCCTAGAGTATGATCACTGTTAGCATCTGTTTCACGTATAGCTTTTTCTTTTTCTCCAGTACACAGAATAACAATGCACATCTGGCAAGCAGTGCTCCTAGAAATGGGCTTAAAATGTATACTCTTCAGTGGCTTTGAAATCCCAAAGGATCGGTTGTAGATCAGTGCTCTCAGACAAACTGGATGATCGTTATTTTTCAGATTCTAGAAATCTCTGTTGCTGCTTTAGTCAGTGCTTTTACTACTATTTGCACCTAAACAGCTATCTTACAGGATGACGGCCTCAGCAACACTAACATCTGACTACTAACACCCACGTTTTCAGTCACTCGGGGGATACAGCTGCATGACTCCCACTAACAGTCTTAGAAAATATAAAGACTTTGTCAATCAACAGAAGAGCGTGTCACCTATTGCTCCTTCTGCTTATGCAGTCAATGACATTGATTGATCATTTTAATATGGTATATATAATCATGACAATAAGAAGGCAGTCTTTCAATACGTACAGTTTGGGATTATTTTGTGACTTACTGGGTAGGTATGAATAAAGCACACAGTGCTTTAAGACATCTGCTCAGGAATCTTAGGGTTTTCTAGGTCTTACTGTTCTGGAACATTGTCAGCAGTCCTATTTCAAAAAAGTATTTTATGATTACAGTCTGATATCTAGCTACAAAACAAGGTTACTAAAGCCTAAAATGTATAGGATTTTAATAAACACAACATTTAGGGCCTGAAAGTTACACCACTTATCACTCCTCAGAGAGCGCTCCTCCTAGAAATTTAATAACCTGTTTTGAGACGGTACAGTTGCCCTCTCCAGAATGTGAAGAAATTATTTAAAACTCAGTGACACCTAGTCTGTATATATGCCTTCTTTTCCTTGTAGCTTCTCAATTTGCACCTAACTGGTGGGATTTTCTTTTCCAGATCCATCTGCCTCCTATGGGTCTTGCCCACAAACAAGGCCGAACATTGCGTCACCAGGAAAAGCTGAGGAAGATTTCTAAGCCAATATACCTGAAATCCCATGATGAAGTTTCATAACCCATCATTTAAGATGTGATGTGTAATCACATCATTTAAGATGTGGACTGTAATCCATGTGATTTGTGTGCACAACTGTGAATGAAGCTCTTTTGGTCACTTGCTTACAAATTTGCTGAGGCCAAAAAGCTAACAGATACATCGCACGTGATGGATAAGTTTTATCCAGTATTTATTACATTTCAACCACTGACTCATCAATAAAAGTAACACTTTTCAAGGAGTGAGGTGTGATACGAAGATTACTTTGACAGGACAAATTACAGCAGGTTTTCAAACTCAATCAGTAGCAGGGTTCTCCAGTGGTTTCAGGATTATATATGCTCAATTGTGATTCAAGGCAGTGCCTTGTGTAAGGGTCAGCAAAAATCAAGAAAGTCCAGGAGAATCAAGCAGACACAGTGCTTCCAGAGTTTCTGAATGCAAGTGGGAATACGGTGACCACATCATGCAGCTGCAGTCCTTTCTTTCCTGTCCCTGCTCTGCTCGTTGTCCCTGGAGAAACGTTCCAGTTTCACAGTATCCTTACGGTGAAGTACTGTTTCTAAATGGAGAGTAGCGAAGAGACGTCAGAAATGCCACTACTCCTTCTTTTTCCTTTTTGCAAACTGTAGAGGAGCAGCCTAGAGCCTCAATGTCAGCTTCCCTCCTGCTTCCTTTGGAGAGGGTGTGGGTGTGAAATGCA